CCGGTGGGTCCGTAGGGTTCTAGGGGTTAAGGTCTTAAGGGGAAATCTTTATTTGGAATGTAAAATATAGGCTACAAATATAAAGGACGTCTTGCATCTGCACTCATTTGGTCGATGGAATAAAACAAGAATATTTAGGTTCTGAGACAAGAAAAGTCAGCAAAAAAGACAAAAATACCCTAATCCAGCAGCATCCATAACATCCACACTTTGACACCCATGTTCTTTAATCTAAACTACTGGATTATGACTCTTTGTTTCCCATCAGCTCTGATCCATTCAAAACATTCTCACCCTTTAGCTACGAATCCCTGCAGCTCCTCCAGAGTACCCAGGAGCAGCTTGTCTGCTTCAGATTGATGCTGTTTTCCCGACCTGTCGGCTTAGAGGTGGACGGTTAGAGTTGTTCCAGAATATTCTCATCCCAGGGGTTGAATTGAACAGAGCTTTGTTAAATGTTCAAAGCTCTATTTGTGAGATCACATTACATGCAGAGGAACGCAGGATACCAGGGGTGGGTAGTTACTACTAACATTTAGTCAGTTACATTTACATGAGTGACTATTTGAAGAGTAGTAGTTGTAGTTTTAGGAGTAAATTTATAACATTAAACTTTCTACTTTTGCTTAAGTGAAAAAATAAAGTATCACTCCTCAGTGAATATCTGATTCAAGTGAAATTTCTTGCGGTTCCATCCATTGTGAATAACTTCACTTAATGAAAACAAGCTTTTCTAAACAAATATGCACCACTGAGAGACACTTTTCTTTGTACTCAAAGCTTATTGGCTGAATGTGTTTATCCATCGGCTGAGACTGCTGTTTCATTGGATATCTAGTGAAAATACAATAAACAGTATACGGTAATTTATCCTATTCTAACATACTGAAAGTATTGCATTTGTAAGTTTTATAACTCAAAAAAATATTATTTTAAGTATTCATCCCACATTCTTTTGTTATTGTGTAATTAATCAAACAAATTGTATGTAGCTTTATATTTTGTATAATTTTACATCATCTTGTGAAACGTTAAATCAGTTGTTATGATCATGCGTAGTGTGTAGATCAGTTGCTCAGGAGTTTTTACCAAATATTTTTTTCTCTTACTTGCATAATTTCTAGAAGGGCTACTTCTTACTTTTACCTGAGTAAAAATATGATGAAGTTGTGCTACTTTTACTGAAGTACTGTTTCTGGTTACTCTACCCACCTCTGTGGGTTATTAACTAGGTAACCTCTAACTGTTCTGGATTTTAACAGAGTGGCAGATTTGTATTTCTAAAACATGTAGAACCCGAGTCACCATTATACTTTACTCTCTGTTGGGTTATGAAATCCCAATCTCTCAAAGACGGACAGGTTTATAGTTTTTCTGGACGCCTCCTTCATTGACTGAAGGTGAAAAGAGCCCCAAAGCATCCCCTTCTCTCATCAGTTTAATTATGCATCAGAAAGTCTGCCTATTCTTGGCCACCTTATGTCATTTGCCACATCATGAGTCAATAATTGATGAACGCGGGGCTTCAGAGAGGCTGCTGGAGTTGTCATAACTGCTGCTGAGTGGTTTTCATGGTGTGGATAAAGAACTAATCAGAAGCCGGCGGTGCAGCGGACTGTCCGCAGCATTACGTTACTTACAGACCATTCAGTTAAGAAACATATTCCCCACTGATCCAGATTATAGCCCGGCCTGCTGCGTGTTACCCCCCCCCCCCACTGTGCAGACTCACTGCTCTGTACCTCTTACATGCAAGCTGAGGCTTTGTTGTGATTGTCATCAGCATGGGACAGTGTTTGCAGTGGAAACTGATAGCACAGATCGAACGTTTGGTCATCTGCTTTGACAGCGAGGATCCAGGTCAGAGCTAACCGGGGGCCCGAAGCCTGTCACGGACAGGGTGGGGGGGCACAGAAATAGAACAGGAGCATCATGGAACTATTTGTGCTTCCATCCGAGTAAATGATCCTATAAAATCCATTTGCATATTTCTGTATAACTAATAAAATAGATAAATAAAGAATAGAATAAGGCTGTTTTTGAGGGTGAAAATAGACCATTGAAATTAAACACACATTTACATTGTGTTGAATTATTCACTAAGGCTGGTTTTATGTGAAATATATGAATAAAGAGGTGCACCAAGTGGAAATCAACAGAAAGTAAAGAAAAATGTTGTTTTAGACACCCGTAAAATTGAATTCACTGAAAAAGAATGCCTTCAGTAAACATTCGCTGTGTGTGATTTTAATCTTTCTGTAAATCCAGGTGAAAAACAAAAATCTCAGCAGATACATCAAAGATTAGGTGTGAAAACGAAAAAGGTATTAAAATAAAGAAATAACAAGAGATGGCCCAAGGTAACTCTGGAGGAGCTGCAGAAACAATAAGACATTTGATCTGAAGTGTTTCAAAAATCAAACCATTTAGTTCACCTGAATTCTAAGATTAATTTAACTTTATGATATAACAAATTCCCAATTGCATTTTTAATCTAAAAAAAAAAACTATTAAATAAACCTTACATGTTGAATATTCATTTCTATTAAAACGTTTTTTTTTATTAAAGATTCAGTATAATCTGGTTAATGTATTTAGTACTAATAAAGTACTAATTTGAAAATCATACTAATGAATGTATTTATTTAAAATATATAAAGTTTATTGTTTGAATTGAACACAGGAAACTGTGATTATTTTGCAGTTCAGTTATTATGCAATTCTAACAATAAACCTTATGAATTTAAAATAAATAAACTCATTAATATTAATTAGGAGTACGTATACTTTACTATTTCTAAATATATCAACCAACACATTTTTAATAAATAAGCTATATTAGATGTATATGCATCATGTAATGTTTATTTAATATTATCAATTTTATCACATTTATGTAAAAAACATTTTTTTTAAAGTAAATTAGAGTTTGTTATTAAATAAAATTACATAAATCTTAGAATTTTGGGGGAATTATTTGTGAATGCACTTAATGCAGAAATCACCCAGCAGCTTATCAACATTCCAACACCACTACATACACCAATGAACGCACTCACCACTCCAATGCCTTGCCAAAGAGCCCTGGGGGAGGAATTTGAAATTACAAGATGATTGGTCTTTCAATAAAAACCACAGCAACCCAATGAGCCCGATGAGAACCAGGACTAAACACTCCCTTAGCATCACAAACCCCACGGCGGAAGCATCATCATGCTGAAGGGACTCTTTTCCTCGGCAACTTCAAGGGCGTCAGACTCATCGGGGAGAGAGAGTTCAGTACAGAGCCATGCTGTTGGAGAAGGGGGGCTCAAGCTGTAGGGCATATGAAACTGCTAATCAAATGGCCAAGAACACGACTCACACAAACAAAACACTCCAAGGAGAACAACTGGTGGGTCAATGATTTGCATCTCACTTTAAATGCACCCATGAGAATGGGCCGTGGTGTGCTTGAAGGCAGCAGCAACCAAACAACAGGTTGCTTTAGTTTGAGCCGCCAGGATCCACTAAGACTCCTGGATAGGTGTTGAAATGTTTTTCCGAAAAGTGAGTTTTGTGTTCTGTGTTGTGGTTACAATGACCTGGATAACTGCCCTGCTGTTTGTCTGATAGCAGCAGCTTAAAGAGTTCATGGAGGGAATTAGGAGAATCTGAACAGTTTTAGAGTTCTGCTCATGCAGCAGGTCAGGGTTATTAAAGTGGCCATTTTTGTTCTCACTACTGTCCTCTGCAAGGTCTGCTTGTCTACATTAGCCTACTGCAGCTAAAGTACCAATTAAAAGAAAATAAAGACTGTTCCCCAAATGTTCTTCTAAACATATTATAAATGTTTTGTTCTGCATGAGTAAAAAGTCTCCCAACACTTAATAATGGCAGTGTGGCACTTGATTCAAATCTGGGTTTCAATATTTCTGTGTTTCAGGATTTTTTGAGTTTGTCTAAAAGTGCTGCTCAGTAGTATAAAAATGAACGTTCAGAGCCCTCTAGTGAATTTTTTCTAAAAAAGCAAATAGCTACTTTTTCCTGTCTTATTGGAGACCTTTGGGACACTTAGAGCCCCAATCTGAGTTTACTGTCTTCAGTGAACATGAAGTAAATGAGCCCCTCCCTCCTCAAAAACACAGGGACTCAGATGCAGCAGCTGCAGCCCATGTCTGTAATCAGACAGCAGAGCGACTCTCTTAGTCGCAATGCAGTCACACATGTGCAAAGCTTCCACTGATCCCCCCATTTAAAAATCATAATGGAAATCTGATATTTAGCGTAGACTTTGCTTTAAAACTGTTGCAGTGAAATAGAATAGGCTGCCACAGCATCTCAGAGCAGCGATACTAACGTTTTTTTTGTTTTATTATTTTCTAGACCTAACTTTATAATCTTTATTATGTTTTTCCTTATTAAAATCGGATGGATAATTAATACAATTCTGTGGTGGGACAAACTGAGAAAACACATTTTTTTATACTTGAAATGTACTTTAACAAATTTAGGACTAAGATCATCCCTGACATTAAAAATCAACAATATTTCTGTGCAGCTTTTAGCTGCAATTCATTAATGATTTGTTTCTTCACCAGAGGAATCATGGGAAAGCAAAACAGCAAGCTGACTCCTGAGGTGATGGAGGATCTGGTGAAGAACACAGAGTTTAATGAACACGAGCTGAAACAGTGGTACAAAGGCTTCCTGAAAGACTGCCCCAGCGGCCGGCTGAATCTGGATGAGTTCCAGCAGCTTTATGTCAAGGTTGGCATGCCGCTTAGCTGCCTCTCTCTTATCCACCCAATAAAATGACATCATACCAATCCTGCACTGGTTAACTCACAGCACACCTTTTTATTTTTTATTTTCTTACATGTGCAGTTCTTCCCATATGGCGACGCGTCGAAGTTTGCAGAACATGCCTTCAGGACCTTTGACAAAAACGGAGATGGAACCATCGATTTCCGAGAGTTCATCTGCGCCCTGTCCATCACCTCCCGCGGCAGCTTTGAGCAGAAACTCAACTGGGCGTTCAACATGTATGACCTGGACGGCGACGGCAAAATCACCAGAGTGGAGATGCTGGAGATAATCGAGGTGAGGCGGATTATCGACTCATTAAAGCCTTCACCCATCAGGGGACGACTGGGTTTGGTCTATCAGGCTGCTGCACACCTGCAGATGCTGCAGCATCACAGATGCACTCAAAGACAAAGCCTCGTAGTGACAAAGCTGCAGCTGTATTGGATATCTGCGTGCTATTTTAGGGAACTCAATCAATAAGGGAAATCTAATCTGTGTTGGTGATATCGGAGAATATTGACTAATCCAGCTGGGATAAATATAGTGTGCTTTATTCTAGTCATTCATAATGTGCCTGGAGTTTGTGTTGTAGGTACAGCGCTCTGATAGAAGAAGAAACAGACTACGGTTCATCAGCACCTCGGTATCTGAACCTTTTATTTTAGTTTTTATGTCAGAACTGATTATTTACCAGTACTGATTAACCAGGGCTGCTGTGCTGAAAAAAGATTACGATACTGATATCATAAAAATCTGTTTTTTTTGGAGTAGGCAAGGCAAGTTTATTTATATATATCACATTTCAGCGGTAAGACGATTAAATGTGCTGTAAAGGAAAAAAGAAAAATTAATAGTACATTGCAGTGGCAAAGAAGCAACATTAATAGAGAGTAAAAATGACAGATTAAAATGAAAGGATTATACAAAAAAATTATTAAAAAAAGATAAAATAAAAGCAATTAGTACGAAAATATAACATAAGTTAGACTGGAAGCGTAACTAATAATGTTTAGATTGGATAGTCCAAGGCCACTCTAAATAAATGTGTTTTTAATCTCAATTTAAAGCAAATAAAATTTTTAGAACCTACTAGGATTTTATTCCAGATTAATCGAGCATATGAACTAAACCCTGCCTCTCCATGTTTGGTTCTGGTTCTGCGGAGTAGATTAGAGACAGAAGACGCGATCTCTGGGTGGTTGATACACAATCTGACAATTAGTCTTTACTGTATTTTGGAAATTATCCATTCAGTGATTGATAGACTAACAGAAGTAGTTGAAACTCTTATTCTCCGACCAACAAGAAGCAAATGTAACAATTTTATAAATGAGTTGATAGTTTCAGTGAGGATGCGGGCAGCAGTATTTTGGATCAACTGAGGCTGTCAGGTAGACTTTTTATCCAGACCTGTGACGATGCCATCACCGTAATCAATTCTACTAAAAGATTAATGCATAAGTTGGCTTTTCTAGATCATTCTGAGAAGTTCGTCCATTAATCCTAAAGATGTTCTTTAGGTGACAGAAGGTCAACCTTGTCACTGGCTTTATGTGCCTCTAAAGGTTCAAGTCTGAGTCCATCGTTACACCCAGATTTAGATCCTGGTTAGTGGTTTCTAGCTGTATTAACTGAAGCTGTGTTCCAGCTTTTTAATACTATTTTTTTGTTCCCTAGACTACTACTTCAATTTTTTTTTTTATTCTGCTTCTGTCTCCTTGAAGCCCAGTCGGTCTTAGCAGATGGCCGCTCACACTGAGCCTGGTTCTGCTGGAGGTTTCTTCCTGTTAAAAGGGAGTTTTTCCTCTCCACTGTCGCTATAAGCATGCTTAGTGTGAGCCTTCAAGTCATTGAGACGATGCAATCAACTGGTTTTCCTTAGAAAACGTTAAATCAATTTGACTGTATGATCTGGTAAATTGTAAAGTGCCTTGAGATGACTTGTGTTGGTGCTTTATAAATTAACTGAATTGAATTGAATTCAACCGAAGAATATTGGGGCGCATCCATGTGTTAATTTCTTCTATGCATTTACCCAGTACTTTAATGGGTTAATAGTCACCTGGTGACATTTTAATGTAAAGCTGTGTGTCATCTGCATAGTTATGATAACTTATGCTGTTCTTTATTATAATCAGAGTAAGGGGGAGCATAAAGATATTGAATAAAATAGGCCCTAAGATGGACCCTTGGGGAACGCCACATGTGATTTTTGTGGCCGCTGATGTAAAGTTACCTACTGACACAAAACAGATCCGTGTCCTTTAGGTAGGATTTAAACCAGTCCTGTGCTACCAGAAAGGCTCACACAGTTTTCCAAGCGCTTTAGCAAAACTAAGTGAAAAACAATGTCCAACTATACAGTCTCCAGTTATACAAAGATCATTAAACACCTTCAATACAAAATAATATCAGATGAAAACATAAACTAAACATAAAGCTGAAATGAGATAGTAGAAAGGATAAGTGGTTCACTTTAAAACCTTGATGAAACTAAATCTAAACTTGGAATTATAAATAACTAGCTTTATCTGATAACCAATTAAAAATACAGCAAGAGTGGAACCTCTGATATATAAATAAAATATACATATATTTATATTTAAATATTTTTTTTACTATTTGAAATTTTTCTGCAACATTCAATATCAGTATATTTATTCAGTTATTGAGTAAAAAAAAAATTTCAAAAAATCTCTGCTCCGGCCTGTGTTTGGTAACTCTACTGGTAACGCTTTTAGATTCCATACTTTGTCCCCTTCTTTAGATTGTCCAGATTCCTTGGTTCTTTGCTTTGCTCTTTTCTCTTCAATTCAACCCTCAATTTTCTACAACATTTAGGTCTGAGGATGGTGATAGCCACGGAAGACGGCTCATTTCATGTCATCTGAACCCTTTCTCTGTAGATCAGGGCAGATATTTTGGATTATTTTCCCAATAAAACACCTAATGACCCATTTTCCGTTTACTGGTAGAGCCAATCATGTCAAACCTGCCGGGTTTTCAAACAGCTCACGAGGCCATGGAGTATAAGGCCTCAGTAACCCTGTTCCAGGCTTTTTAAAATTCTTATTTTGAAGAATGTCACCGTCAAGGTAGCCTGTGGGATTTAGTTTAAAAACTTTTATCCACACACTATTGTTGACGTTTCAAATTAAAGAAACAAAAGCATGCCAGAAGCAGTGATAGGCTAAAAATATATATATCCCAAACAGTTGGTGCTCACTTTCAGTTGTTAGCATCCACATCCTGTTTCTGAAGTTTAATAGGAAAAAAAATCTCAAAGCAAAAATACAGTTTTTTATCAAAAGGCTCACTCTTAATTCTGGTTTATACTTTACTTGTCTGCAAGGTCTGCACAGCAATATAGCATAACTTTTACTATCCAAACCCCTGAGCAAAGCTGGATTGTTTTTGCACCGAGGTAAGATACTGACGACACAGTCAGTTCCATGTGGAAAAAGCATTTGGACAGGCTTAGCTGCTATTAGCAAGGATTCCCAAAGATAAACATCTATATACATCTTGATTTGGTCCATAATATCACTATGATCAACAGGTTGTGTACAAGTCTTGGAAAGCAATTACTTTCACTCTCAGGTGACACAAAGACGTCCCCTGAGAGTGTAGATTGAATGTATTTTGCAGTTTTTTGGGATTCAAGCGTCTCCAACAACTCAAACTTAATCCATAGATCCAAGTCTTCCACCTCCGGTTTGATCAAATCCCAACCACCCGGGTCATGTCTTGTCTTCAGTCCCTACTCTCGTCCATTATTGCTCCTTACCTCTTTAAAACACCAGTTATCTTTCCTAAAGAATACTGAATCTGATCCAAACATGTATAATAATATCCGCCCCATTTCTAACTTGTTTCCATTGCCTCCCAACTTCACTCTTATCTAAGTCACCCTAACATCCTGGAGTCTGGATGTTATCCTTGATAACACTCAGTCTCTGACCTCCCATATCAGTAGCATAACCCCTGTGGCGTATTTACATCTACCAAACATCCATTGTCTTCGTCCCTCTCTTTTCCTGCATTCTGCTTCTATTCTTGCCCATATCCTCGCCACCTCACACATCAATGACTTCTTACAATTACTTCTTGGCCTTCCTTAGAAATCCCTCCAGAAGCTTCAGTCGGTCCAGATTTCAGCAGCTCGTTTAATTACCAAAAACATCTCATTCCATCACATCATCCCCGGTCCTGCTGGAGCTTCACCGGCTTCTCGTCAGCTTTAGACTCCAGTTTAAAATCCTCCTGTTCACATGTAAGATCATCCATAAAGTTGCTAACCCATACCTCTCAGATCTTTTTCAGATTGCTTCCCCCTCCCATACCCTTAGGTCTCCTCTTCCATCCACCGTATTAAGCCTTCTGTTCCCCTCATCTCCATGGGAAGCAGAGTTTTCTCCCGCTCTGCTCCAAAACTCTGCAATTCCTGATTCTCATAAAACTGATACTTTACCTCTGTTGATATCGACGTGAAAAATGAATCTGCTGCAGACTGCTTAGCTCTAGTGACTGCTCTGGGCTGTTTTTAATATTGTGTGATGTTGATTATGTATGTTGCACAGTGTCGTTGGATGTTTTGAAAGGGGCTTTAAGTGAATTGCATTATTGTTATTACGATATGTAGTGCAGTGTTGATAACCCCCAAAGAGTCGGCTAGAATATTAGGGTACCGTGGAAAAAGCTGCAGGAAGTATAAAAAGCTGCTAAAGCTGCATCAGCCATTTTCTGTGTGGAACATAGACATGTCAGGCGTAAAACAGCCTTTAGTTTAGTTTGATTTGGCCAACTACCGTATTTTCTGGAATATAGGGCACACCTCATTATAAGCCACCCACAATGTTTTTTTTTAGACTGGAAGTTTACATATATAAGCCCAAACAGGCTATAAGCCGCTGATATCTACTGAACCGTCCCCAACCAAACGTTTTGGTGTAGCTCCACATATAACCACTAGGGCAATGCTAACTCCACTCACCGTCTTGGCTTGCGGCAGTGAGAGCTTCTAAAAATGAGGATTTGCTCTTTATTTTAGTTCTGCAGGAGTTGCACAAAGTCTTTTTCCTTTTTGGCTCGACAGCTTTAATGCGGCAGCTTTAATGCATGTCAAAATGTGCGAATTCAGGAAATTTGTTCTCCGTTGTGCCTGCTGATAGCATGTTCTGACTTTGAATATTGACTTCCAGCCCCTGGTAGTCAGGAAAAATTCACAGAGAAGCCACACCTTTGTTCACAGCATGTGAAAAAAGTAGCAGCTTATAGTGCGGAAAATACAGTAAATGTTTTTGTTTGTGATGGTAGGACAGGGAACAGTTTAGCCTGGATTTAGTCATAAACAAGAAATCAGCCGCTACGCCAAAGCAAACCTGATTACAGCAGTAGAACATTTTACTTTAATTCAATTCAGTTTATTTCTATAGCGCCAATTTACAACACGTCATCTAAAGGCACTTTACAGTTCAACCAGATCATCCAGTCAAATTAATTCAAAGTTTTCTTTCTAAGGAAAACCAGTTGATTGCATCGACTCATTGACTCAAATGCAATCCCTCACACTAAGCATGCTTGTAGCGACAGTGGAGAGGAAAAACTCCCTTTGAACAGGAAGAAACCTCCAGCAGAACCAGGCTCAGTGTGAGCGGCCATCTGCTGCGGCCCACTGGGGTTCAAGGAGACAGAAGCAGAGATACAAAAAGCAGCTGTAAAAGGCGGCCCCGTCTAGGAAACACACAGCCAGGCAGACGAGCTCCGAGCCAGCTCCCATGTCAGAGGATGAAGAGAGCACATCCAGTTAGTCACGGTCAGAGAAACAGGACTACACAGAAAAACAAGCCAAGCTCCAACATCTAGAAACAAAGGTGTTGATGGCAGCAGCACAGCTGATATTTCTCTCCAGGATGGAGTCACAGCCAAACAGGAACAGACCAGATGAAGCTACTCTGAGGAAAAGCAGAGAGAGCAGAAGGTTAGAGATTGAACTAACAGATTCTGCAGAGTGGGAGAATAGAGATAGAATGAAGCAGAATGATGAAAAAGGGGTCCCTATGTCCTCCAGCAGTCTAAGCCTATAGCAGCAGAACTATAGAGATAGCTCAGGATAACCCGAGCCACTCTAACTAGAAGCTTTATCAAAAAGGAAAGTTTTAAGCCTAGTCTTAAAAGTAGACAGGGTGTCTGCCTCACGGACTAAAACTGGTAGTTGGTTCCACAGGAGAGGAGCCTGAGAACTAAAAGATCTGCCTCCCATTCTACTTTTAGAAATTCTAGGAACCACTAGTAAACCTGCAGATTGAGAGCGAAGTGCTCTGTTAGGAACATAAGGAACAATCAGATCTCTGATATCAGATGGAGCTTGGCCATTTAAGGCTTTATATGTGAGAAGGAGGATTTTAAATTCTATTCTGGATTTAACAGGAAGCCAATGAAGAGAAGCCAGGATAGGAGAGATATGATCTCTCTTTAGTTTTGTTTGCAAAAAATGAATAATTAAAGCAACACTTCAAGAATCACAGTTAGCACCATCGATGGTTAGCACATCGTTAGCATGCAAAGATTGTTATGGGGATTTGGAAATATTAAGATGAAACTCGTTCATGCATCTCTGTAAAGCTTTGGGACTTTGTTTTAAATCTTGCACAGCCTTCCTGCATTTCCTCCAGCTGCAAACAAACTTTAGTTTCACATTATATTACTTGTAAAGGGAAACAGAAAGTATGCATTATTATTTAGAAGATCCCAGAATATTTAGTTGATGTCTGAGTGTCAAGAGTGAAATAAGAATAAAAAAATGACTGTTAAAACAAATGTTTCCATATTACTGCAATGAAGGATTAATTAATACATTTTTACCCACTTTTATCAGCAGAAGAACTATATAGACAGATTTCTTAACACAATCAGCAGCTTTTAGGTCTTAAATCAGTCTTTGATTTAAAGGATGAAAGTGTGATGTGGTTCTATGGTTACATCACACCAACTGGTTTAAAAAACTGCACACGTTTATTTGGAGCAACTCTGGACGCTTCTGGAAGCACGTAGGCTTCATTGCATTAGATAACAAAGCACACTCCTCGGCTAATTTCTCACTCCCTCACACCCACAGGCCATCTACAAAATGGTGGGCACGGTGATCATGATGAAGATGAACGAGGACGGCCTGACACCGGAGCAGAGGGTAGACAAGATCTTCAGCAAAATGGATAAGAACAACGACGACCAGATCACGCTGGAGGAGTTCAAGGAGGCGGCGAAGAGCGACCCGTCCATCGTGCTCCTGCTGCAGTGTGACATGCAGAAGTGAAGCGGCCTCGGCCCCCCCTTTCCCCCCCTCCCTGCTTGCACCTCTTTCTCTCTACCCCCCCGTCTCACCCCCCCACTCTGGACAGCAGCACACACGTTTTAATGTCTCATTAAGGTTCTCTGCCATTTCCACGAAGGGGGGAAGAAAAAAAACCCAACATAACGTAAAAGAAAAAGAAAATGCTTGGACTATTTTTCAATGGACTCGCTTCTTGTGGTCGTATGCATGAGAATGTCAAATGCAGAATAATTTTGAAAAATAGCTATAAGATATCACAGATGTTTATTTCCAGACCTGCCAATGTGATTCGTGCACAGTGACCCTGTACATTCTCATCCAACCTTTAGCTTGTATATCAGTGGAGCACTACATTCGGGTTTGTTTCTGCAGTATTTAGACCCCCTACTCCCCCCCTTCCCTCCAGTGTTCACTGCTACAACTACTGTATGCTTTACATAATAGTAACAAAACAATAATTCCTATGATAATTGTAACTGTCTCTAATATCCAGACTTGATGAGCTCTTGGAGAATAGAAAAGGCTCCTGTCTGTTCCAGATGTTCTCACTCAGTGGAACCAAGAAGAGTAGGTTCTTTGCATGCATATATTACGTGTCGGGAAAAAAAATATAAATATATATATAATCTCTTACCTTTTTGCATTTTTAGGTGGCTATAAAAAGACGAAAATTGGAGATTTATTTAGTATTGTTGCATGGGCTGTACAGTATGTGACGCATTAGATCATTAGTTGTCCCCCAGTATGGTGGGAGCATGCCCCCCCACCCCCACCCATCTGAAAAAGCATTCGTGTTTGACACTAGAGTCGTCGGAAAGGTGCTCGCCCTGTAGCCGTGGGTTGAAGAGCTTTCACGTCTACATGCAGCGCCGCGTTGTGGCCCAGTGTGACATGTGGGATGAGCAGAAATGTATTCATGCAGACATGATTTTTTTTTTTTCCTTCCTTTTGATCACATAGTGCTGCTGCCGTTTCAAATGAAAGGTCAAACATCCCCAGCATCAACAGGCGCAGCACTCCAATAATTGGCTTCTTTTTCAGGCTGCTTGGTTTTGATTTAAACTTAAAGAAATAATAATTACAAAAAAAAAAACTTTGACTAACTTACATATCAATATGTTTACAGAAACAAAGCACTGCGAATTGAGTACATTCTTGGCTTTTGGATGCGCTGCAGGGGCGAGCCCTCAAGGCTTAGGGAGCTTATGAGGGTGGCTCCATTTTTTTCAATGCAGCTGAAAAAACAAAAGCCTCCTCTATGTTTACTGGATACACTGCATTCCTTTGTGTAAAACCTTTTTGTAAGGAGAAACTTTTTATTGAAAGGTCTCATTTAGGCAACCCGTTCGCAGCGATCAGGAAAGATGTGGGGACCTCAAAGAGGCGTTCGATGAAGTTTCTTACACTGTGAGACAGTCGCGTTTGGTAACTGAAGATTTTTTTTTCTCTTGATCCCCCCTCCCACCCCATCACCCACCTCCTCCTCTCACGTGTAGGCTATGCAAGCATGGACTGAGAGTCTGCTTGTTGTCCACTTGCACAAGTGGATTTTGCAGAAGAAGCTATTCATTGTTTTTGTCTTTAACATAAATAAGCCAATCCTCACATTTCAGCGACTCTATTAGTTTTATTTTTTAGTCCAGACATCAGGTCAGAAATGTATTTATTTTTTTGTTAGGTAAATGTTTCTATGGGATATGAACACTCATTATTCAACTGACTGTATTCTTTTATACATGTGGCATGTGTTGCACCTAAACTCAGTTCTGTAATGTTTAAAATGAATAAACCATCAACAGGCTTTTTGGAAACACACAGGCTGGCAGGTGGAGTTAATGTCTGTCTGACTGCTCTGAAATGGCAAAACGAAAGAAAACGACTACATATAGCTAAAACACAGACTGTCTCAGGACAATAATCAGAATGAGAAGCTCTACTATGCGCCCTAACGGTATTCTCGTATAGTTTAAGGAGCTCAGAGCACATCAGTCTGAAAATAAAGCCTTGGTGTTCAGCCAAGTTAAGATGGGAAATTGTGAAGGAAATCCTAATTAAGATTTACAGCACGTTAAATTTGCGACCATAAAATTTTATTTATTTTACCTTTTTTTTTGGGATCGATCAGCACAAAGGAGATCAAAAAGGATCTGACAGTTGAATGCATTTTCAAGATCTATTCATAATAAAGTTCTGAAAAGTGTGGGAAGAAATTAAATTATAAAAATATTTTAATGAGTTGTATAGGTGTCGATATCTGCAGGCAGGATGGATCCTCTGTAGCTGTCTGTGTTGCATCAGACCTGGAGAAGCCTCTTACTGAAGAAACTGTTTTTATTTAATAATCTCCTTTACAGGATCCTCAGTCTTTTCCATAATTTGTTCTTTGTGAAATCATCTCCAGAGGTTCTAGATGAGTTCCTAAAACATTGCGACCTTCTTTATTAGCTTCTTGACCCTTTTTAAGTCATTAGCTATAGTTCTGTTTGCCCAGCAGATGATGCATTTATAACTCAACAGACATATCTTCTATAAACACCGAAGGACTGAAGTTTCATCAGGAAGTACAGTCTGCTCTGTTTCGTGAAGAAAGATTCACATTTGCTTCCCCAGTTCAGTTTGAGGTCCAGGTGAACATAAAGATCTTTATACTCCTCCACTTCT